GGGAGTTGAAGTCCACACGTCTTCCAGTTGCCAAGGTTGAGAAACACTGCTGTAGGGTTTGTAAATATCAATGGTATTGTGCTAATTATCTTTCAGCCCTCTTTGAGCAAACCAGCGGATTGACGAGGGCGCAAAATGCCATTTGGGTAGGGTGGCCCATACAGGGTGGGGATTATGGACACTGAAGTCCCACTGAACCAGAGCATGCCCCTTTGGGAAGACCAACGGGCGCTTAAAACTCTACAGTTTAGCTTGGCAGTGGAAGAACTGTTGGGTTTCAGTGCCATCTAGCGACCATAATGGTGAACAGCCCAGAGAGCTGGTGGAGGGTCTGCTGGCTGGCTGATGCTGTGTTCCTGTATCGGTCTACTCAGAAGCCAGTCCCAGTGAATGCAGAGGAGTTTATTCCCAAGTAATCTTGGAAATCAGCCCTTTCCATCTGAAGGGCTTGCCTGTAATCCAAGCCGGGCTGCTGAAGTTCCTAAGAAGTTCCTGCTCTCTGCACGTGCTTAAGCACGCTCTTCTGCTTTTGCTATTCCGTCACTCAACGGCTGATGCACTCATTCCATGCTCTTAACCATACCAGTGGACATGCTAAGCCCGGTTAGTTGTAAACTGAATTTAGGGTGGGTGGGTCACGTACTCTGTAAACGTACCTGTTTGGTTAATTCAAGGTTTGCTGTATTTTGCACCTCTAGAAAATCAATGACTGGAATAACCAAGTTATGCAAGTCATGTGAATGCCATTTCTGTGGAGGAAGTTTAACGTTAAGGTTTAAGGTTCACTCTGTCCAGTCTCCAGTAGACAGCAAACGTGGAGGAGACAGTCTTTCCAGCAGGCAGTTTATTAGCCCTGGAGATGGCAGGTCTTCTAAGCTTGTTGGGGGTTATTGCTGGAAATTGAAAAATTGCTTATTTGGCAGGCTAGAAGCCTACTCAGAAGAAAAAATGGGAGATCTCTGAAGAGACTAGTGAGGATACACACAGATCTAGGAAATGGAAGGTGAGAGATAGAAGGAAGAAGGTTGCAGGCCACTCACTATAATTTGTAAGAATTATGTCAGAAAGGTTAATGCCCAGATGCCTTGAACAACCACCTTAAAAAGACACTTGGTAAACAAAAGGAAAGGGAAAAAGGAGAAGGCAGAATAACTTGGCTCACATTTTACAACTGTCTTCTCTTAGAAGGGGGCAAAGCTGGCCGGCCATTGTTATGTCACTGAGGGAGGAAGGGGGCTCAGCTCAGAACAGATGAGAAAGGAAAGGAAGGATTACCTAATTTCAATTAATCCAGGACTCCAGAGCCAGATGAATTGCATCCTGAAAGGGAATAAACATCAGAGCCTGGTAGCACCTTTTCAGACTAACAACATCACGTTACTAGTAAAAGTCAAGGAGCACAATGAAAAAAACGGGACTAAGATTAAATATAAACACCAAACTAATGACAGCAGATACAGCAACAAGCTTTAGAACTGACAAAAAAAGATATTCTGCCTTTTAAGATCAACCAACGGCAGGAAAGGAACAAGCAGTCAAGAAATACGCCACAGAATAGCACTTGGCAGAGCAGCCATGAAGGCCTTGGAGAAGATCTTCAGATGCCGTGATGTGTCTCTACCTACAAAGGTCAGAATCGCGCAAGCCGTGGTGTGATGCTCTATGGAAGCGAAAGTTGGACTCTGAAGAAGCAAGATGGGAAGAGCATTGACCCCTGTGAACTCTGGTGTTGGGGAAGATTCCTGAGAAGACCGTGGACAGCCAAGGAAACAAAGCGATGGATCACTGAACAACTGAACCCAGAATCCTCATTCGAGGCCCAAA